TGGATTTCGAGCTATTTTATGGTTTTATTCATTTTTGAAAATCAGCTTCGAAAAACGAAATTGAAGGTTAAAATGCAAGTGGTTCTGCGATGACTGAAGTTGGCTTGAAACTCTTATGAATGACATTTAAAATTAAATAATTACTTCAAAATAAATTTTATTTAAAAAATTTATTGGGAGTTAATTGTGAGGAGCAATTAATAGTAATTGTCATATATTAAATACTAAAGTATAACTCCCAATAAATTTTTTAAATAAAATTTACTTTGAAGTAATTATTTAATTTTAAATGTCATTCATAAGAGTTTCCAATGATGTAAAAAATAATAAAAATCAAAATTTTATTTACTAAGCAATTTTTAATATTATATTTTCTTTAATGATTTAAATAAATCTTATAAATAATATTTTTAAAGAATTATTATGAATTTTAATGTTCAAATCTTATTTGCAAACTTAAATTTGAATTTAATCAAATACATCGATATCAAGACAGCCAACTTCAGTCATCGCAGAACCACTTGCATTTTAACCTTCAATTTCGTTTTTCGAAGCTGATTTTCAAAAATGAATAAAACCATAAAATAGCTCGAAATCCATCGCCAAAATTTGACAGAATGGAAAACAAGGTCTAACTTAAATATTAAGACAAAAATTGTATTTTTTTATTTTGCACCTGAGGAGATACAAGTGTTCAAAATCACCGAAAATCCTGGAAAGTTCAACATTCAAAGTAAAATTTTTCCTATTTCTACTACATAATATTAAAAAGTCAGCGCATCATATGAAAGTACATTGAAAGTACTTAATATTAAGCTGTAATAATTTTTTAAATATTTATTAACTTTCTAGAAAAATGTAATAAAAATATGGTGAATTTTGGCATTTGACAGGCAAGTTTAAAAATCAATTTTCATATAATATTTTGTCCTTTTTAACATAGAAATCAATTAATATAAGTAAATTGGACTATTTTGAATATATATCAAACAAAAAATTTATTCTATCTAAATTATTTTTGTGTTTTTTGATTAAATTTCCAAAGCTGTCAAAATAACCTTTTTTCCGTGCACCTCAACTTAAAAATTAAAATTCCAAAGCAAATACAAATAATTTTATAAAAAATTTGCCAAAAATGAATTGTACGGATATTAAATATCATTATTACAAATTATCAGATTTTTCCAAAAATAGGCCGCAACGACTTCAGATGAAATATAATGGAATGACCCTATAATATAATATAATAATTATAATAATTACGTTGAGTTTTGAGATACAATTATATAGAATTGATCGTTGAGATACAATTTTATTCTTCTGAAAATTAACTACGTTCATATTGAACTGAGCTCCGAGTTACGATTATATAGTTCTGACATTTGTGTTACGATTATATGGACGGTAGGCGTCGATTTGTAAAAATTTTATTTTTTAATTTATATTTCTTCTTTTTGTTAAATAAATCTGATTATGATAAACAAAAATCAAGGCATCAAAAAGTTACAAAAGTTAATTAAAATATTTATCACTCATCTTCCAATAATTGATTATAATAAAATATTTAAATTACCGTATACTATATCAACAATAGAAAAAAAAAAATATTAATCAACGATAAAAATTTTTGAGTTTCAATTTTTTTTTGTTTTCGATTTTGTAATTCATTTAAACGAGAATGATACACTCGAAATTCAATACTCGCCTCATGCGAAATGCAGTAGAAGCAATTTTGAATATTGATTTTTCGCACTATAAATTTCTGCAATTTTTCCGAATCATGAGCCTGTAAAGCGTGTAAATTTCAATTTAATTCTCTGTTTTCAACTGATGGAAATTCGTTCTCCTCTTTCTTTCTCTCTCACACACACTCTCTTTCTCTAATCTAATATGTAGATTCCAAAAATTCAAACCAGAAATAATAAAAACAATCGAATTATTTTTATTTTATTATCATTATTATTTTTCAAAATCTAAATCGAGAACAATCTTTTAAATATTTGACATATTAATTGAATAATTTTTTCCCAATGTTAATTAAATTCATTCCAATAAAAAGAAATAATCGACTAATTTACACCATGGCACTTTTTTTTCCAAAACAATGATTTGTTTTATTTAACTGTTATTATTTTAACATTTTTAATTGTTATTAATTAATTAACATTTAATTGTTTTTCTTTCAAATGACATTTTATATTATTGTTGATATTTGATTAAATAGTTATTAAAAATTATTGCAAACGATTATTCCAACGAAAAATATACGCAATTGAAAAAAGAAAAATTTTATTATTATTATTATTTTTATTAATAATAATAATAATAATAATAATGATAATAATAATAATAATAATAATTTTTTTTTCAATTGCGTATATTTTTCGTTATTATTATTATTATTATTATTATTATTATTATTATTGTTATTATTATTATTATTATTATTATTAATAATAAAAATAATAATAATAAAGAGATAATTCTGTATATAAATATGAAATGAAATTGCTTACAAGACAACATCTTTAGAGAAAGACAAAAGTATTAAAAAATAGAAAAATAAAAGATTTGTTTTATAAGCATAAAGGGCATTTGAAGATATATATACGTAATAATCAAGAAAGCAATTTTTACTTCATTTTTACTATTAAGTACAAGTATGAAAAGATGAAATAGGATCCGAAATGGAGAATTTAATTTTGAATTTTATTTTTACGCATCAAAAATAAAAGGCTTTGTTATAATATTAAATTCAAAAGAGAAATTGCGAAAATAATTTTTATGGAATACAACTTTAATGCGTATTTTACTCTATAATAGGTGGTTGTTGTTGTTTTTTTTTTTTATTAATATGGAGAGTATTAAAAAACATTCAGATATTTTAATTTTTTGTCAGACCGTAATTTTTTCATATTAAAAATAAAAAAAAAACAATTTGATCAAATATTTTTATGGAACTTTTTTAACAAGTTTAAAATAGGAAAAAAAAAATTGTTTTTTCTTTTTCTACAATTTTTTATCAACAAAATTTTCAAATTAAAATACACTGAGAAAAATGTTTAGTCAGAGCAACCAAAATTTGGTTGGGCCAACAAAAAAATTTTCTTGGTATTTAAGCAACCAAACTATTTGTTTGAGCCAACCAAAAATTTGGTTGAGTGTTTTTTAATGGCATAACAAAAATGTTTGGTTAGCTCAACCAAATTTTTTTTGTTAGGTCAACAAAAATGTTTGGTTAGCTCAACCAAATTTTTTTTGTTAGGTCAACAAAAATGTTTGGTTGATCAAACAAACAGTTTTTTTTTTTTTTTTTTTTTTTAAAGCTACGAGCTGAGAGCGAATCAAATTATTTGGTTGTCGCAACCAAATTTTGGTTAGGACAACAAACGATCATTTGGTATTTTAGACCAAACTATTTTGTTTGTATTAACCAAATTATTTTGTTGTCGTAACTAAATTTTGGTTGGAATTTAAAAATGTTCAACCAAATAATTTGGTTGGCCTAAACAAATATTTGGATGACCTAAAAAAATATTTGGTTGGCCTAAACAAATATTTGGATGAGATAACTCTACGACTTTGTTTCAGTTAACCAAAATTTGGTTACAAGAACCAAAATTGCCTAACCAAACAATTTTGTTGCAAACACTAAATTCTTTTTCTCAGTGTATGTTTAAATTTTTAACTTTCAAAATCAAATATTTATTAACGAGATGCACTAATGGTGAATATATACAATGACAAAAAGGGTACTTTCTAAATTTTAATTAACGAGAATTCGTTCACTAATTCAAATTAGTAGAAATTTTTACTAATTTTTATTAAAGTATTACTGTATATTTGATTTAGTAATATTTTTTTTTAGTAAAGTACTAGTGAAAACTGACTGAAAATTAGTAGAGATTTTCACTAATTTAAATTTAGAGAATAATACTAAATATTAATTAAAATTAATTATTAAAACTGCTGTTCAAAAATTATTTATTAATTAATTTATTTAATTAATTATTAAAATTAGGTATTAAAGTTAATTATTAGTTTAAAATTATTTATTTATTAATTTATTTATTTATTAAAATTAGGTATTGAAATTAATTATTAATTAGTTATTAAAGTCAGTTATTAAAATTGCTTTTTAAAATTATTTAATTATTAATTTATTTATTTAATTAATTATTGAAAGTAGGTATTGAAATTAGTTATTAAAATTAGATATTAAAATTGATTATTAAAATTATTTATTAAAATAAGTTATTAAAATCAATGTATATTCATACTTTGAAAAAATAGAAGCAAACGTACTGGAAATTTTTATGCAATCAAGAACAAAAAAAAATGTTAATCAATGATATGAGAATATGAATATACTATATTTCTTAATTTATTGAATGTAAATTATAAATAGATTCCAATAACCCTCTAAATAGATCTGATAACAGTTTCTATGATTTATATATTCAGATTTTGAGAATAATTATTTCCTTCATTAAAATTGAATAAAATTGCAGTAAATTTGCATGTTTCAAGAATAGCTAAATTCTCTTATCAAGTAAATACAAATAAATGTATATTCCCCAGTTAGAAATATGTTTCACTTTATGTTTACCCATATTCAGAACCGTGAATCGAAGGTCGGACCCGCCCCTTTTTACTCAACATGCAAAAATTTTCTCAACTATATACAAAATAATTATATAATAAATAAGAAATATATTCGAAAACTCATTAAAAAAGAAAAAAAAAATTCTTTCCCCTATTTTTTTAAAGAAATATTTAGTTCTGCCTTACGGACGGAAAAACATACGTAAGTGACGATTATATATACGTTTTTCCACTTTGTGGCAGAGTTGATACAAAACAAAAAAAAAAGATATATATAATTTTTCCGTAAATAAATATTTCTATTAAGAGAAAAAGAGTGTTAATTTTTTCTTTATTTTCGAATCAATATTCTTGACATTATTATTCAATGAAAAATATGTAATTATAAAAATTACCCTTGCAAAGTACGTCTTTTTCCAGTTGAGTTAAGGCGTCCTCACGAGAAAGGGGGAAAAAAAGAAGAAGAAGAAGAAGAAAGAAGTTTGGAATGAAGGTGGGAAATGGAAGACACGATAGGGAAGAAAAGGATTGTTCTTTGCGAGGTTGAAGGAACTTAAAAGGAGCAACTCCTTGGAAACACTTGAATTCCTATGTAGGACTACTTGCGCGCTCCACCCATAGAACTTTAATTTAACACTACTCCAATTCACAATTCTAAAACCGATTGATTGTCGATTGTTCTCACTGCACCTGAGGAGAGTAAACCACTTTTCTAATTGCAATCCATTTGATTTACAATGAAACAACAACTTCTTCCTCAATTAAATTTCATTACGTTAATTTCTTTTTTTTTTATTCAATTTTATATATCTATATAATAATTAGCCCAATTTTTGTGGGAAAAAATTCAATTTAAAAACAAAATGACAATAAGTCAAGTAAACTTGATAATTTATATTCAACTCGTTGTGTGCGATAACGAGAATTTGATTAATTGATTTTTCCATCTGCGTTCATTCGCTCGACCCATTGGCGGTCACAGCTTTACTTGTTTTGTATAATTATTTCGAATTTAGCATTAATCCCAACAGCTTCCTTTTCAAGAAAAATTGTTTTTTATTTTTCCAAAATATTACCACTTCCACATTATTTGTATTTGAAACACTTTTTTGATCCTTTTATAAAAACACTTTTGATTTCTTTTTTTTAAAAACTTAACTTTCACTCACTATACACTATCATCAATCCTAAAGCACAAATCTCGTTCCAGGACACTTTTTCTTCGGCGACATTGACCTTTATCACTTTCATAAAGTTTCACATGATCCAATAAACACTTTCCTATTTTGTTTTCCATTTTTGCATTTTTTTTTTTCCTTTAAAAACTTAATTTTTCTGTATAAAATATAATTCGCAAAATCTTGATCGATATACTTCCAGTTTTTAATAGAAGAAAATTTGAATTTTTTTCTTTATAAACATTATAATTTTTTTTTTTTTTACAATTTTTATAGTAACTTTTTCCCCCGAGTATAATGTATTTTTTTTTTAAATTTTTTTGCAAGGAGAAAAATTCTTTCTTTTTCGGAAAAAATTGAATTCACCAATTGTATAACGCGCGCGAAACCACCACGGGTGATGCTGAGCTCGAACTGGAGCCTCTGCTGTGGCGCTAGTGTCGCAAGGGGGAAACCAAGAACAACCCCCTCCATCCCTTGCATTTCCACCCCAATCACCACCGCCACCGCTCCTCTCAAACCTCAGCCATCACCCAGCAACGGGTTTTTAAACCACTTCGCTCCTTCACCCCCTTTCTATGGTTTATATCTTACTGCACGACAAGGTGCGAAATTGATCAACATAAACACTTTTTTTTTTTTTTTTTTTTGCCACCCCTTATTTATATCCACTATCGTTGAGGAAAGATGAATTTTTCTTTTTTTTTTAAAAAAAAGAAACGATTTGCAACCGAAAAAAGAATAACTAACCGCGCTTCTTTATTATGTTTTATTAATAAAAGGGGTGCATAGATTATTCCATAATGTGAATTATTTAGAAATACGAAGCTGAAGTACGCAACGTTTATGATAAACGATTTTTAATGAAATAATTTTTAAAAATTAAAAAATTCTAATTAATCCTAATTTTTTGCCTAAAAAATATTTCTTGTAGTTTTCATTAATCAACAATTTATAAAAAAAAAAATTTTTTTAGGCAAAAAATCATAGAATTTTTCATTTTAAAAAATTATTTCTTTAGAAATCGTTTATCATAAACGTTGCGTACTTCAGCTTCGTTTAGAAATTTCATTTTATACACTGAAAAAAAATTTATTTGATTCAAATACTTCAAAATTATTTGAAAAATATTTAATTGGTTCAAATACTTTATATTTGGATCAAAAAAAATATGTATTTTGATTCAAATAACTTGAATTATTTGAAATCGCATTTATTTGAACCAAATACATCGTATTTGGTTCAATTAAATAATTAATTGAATTGAATAAATGAATTTATTTAATACAAATAATGAGTTACTTGAAACTATTCATTTATTTATTTCACTCAAATATTTCGTTTATTTGATACAAATAAAAAGTATTTGACACAATAAATTTATGTAATTGATTGAAAATAAACTGAATTATTTAATACAAATAATTCGTTATTTAATCCTCATACACTATTTTATCAAGATAAATAAAAAAATATTTCAATCAATTAAATATTTATTTGAAACGATAATAATGATTTACTTGAAACAATTAATTTATTTATTTCACTCAAATATTTCGTTTATTTCAGGCCTCGGATCGACTTAAAGGCACAAAAAAAGTCGTTTTAGTCGATTTATATTCCAAAAAAAGTCATTTTTTTTTATTTTAACAAAAATATTTTACAGATTTAAAAAAAAAATTTTTTTTAAATAATAATACTTTTGGAAGGGTTTAAAGTTGAAAGTTATAGAAATAATTGAATTTTAAAAGATTTTGTTAATTTTCAGACAATAATTAAATTTTACAAAACTAAAAATAATTTATCAAATAATTTCAGACATTTTTTAAATGTAATTGAATTTTTAAAGATTTACAATTGAGATTTTTAAAATTAATTGAACTTCAAGTGATTTTTAATTAACAATTTTTGAAGATTTCATTAAAAAATTTATTAGAAATTGCGGACAAAAATACAATAATTTGACAACCATTTTTAATTGAAAAATGGTTTCAGATAGTTGAATTTTCAAAGAATATTATAAAAATAGTTTTAAAAAATTGAATTTCCTTAGAGTTCTAATTGAAATTGTTAAATTTTAAAAAAAATTTCGATGGAAAATTTTAGAAATAATTAAATTTTAGAAGTTTTTAAATTCAAATTTTTGAAAATAATTGAATTCTAATTGAAATTTTGGATAATAATTCAATTTTAGTTGATTTTTGATTGAAAATTTGATAATAATTAATTTTGCATTAAAATTTTTGTGAATAATTGAATTTTAGTTGATTTTGAATTGAAAATTTTGAAAATAATTGAATTTTCTTTGATTTTAAATTGAAATTTTGGGAAATAATTGAATTTTAGTTGATTTTGAATTTAAATTTTTAAAAATAATTGAATTTGAATTGAAATTTTGGATAATTATTGAATTGAAATTTTTGGGTAATAATTGAATTTTAATTGATTTTGAATTAAAATTTTGGGTAATAATTAAATTTTAATTGATTTTGAATAGAAATTTTGGGTTATTTGAAACGATAATAATGATTTACTTGAAACAATTAATTAATTTATTTCACTCAAATATTTCATTTTTTTCATACAAATAAAAAGTATTTTATAGAATAACTTTATTAATTTTAATTAATTAAATTATTTAATATAAATAATGTGTTATTTAATGTTAATACACTATTTTATTAAAGGAAAATAAAATATTTTGATCTATTAAATATTTAAGTGTAATGATAATAATGACTTATTTGATACTATTCATTTATTTATATATATTATTTAATATTCTCCAAAAGTCAAATATTTTTTCATCAACAAAAAAATTAATGTTTACAATGATTCAGAACAACGAAGAACGCGTTTTTAATAAAAATATATTTACCCTTTTTTTGAAAATTCACCTGGGATGATTCATGATAATAATCATGAAGCATATACATAATTAATTATATTTAATAAATTCCATTTAATTGGAAAATATAAGTTAATATCTTAATTTTAACTAAATGATGTTAAGCACTTTTCTGAGTTGGATTCTTTTGCAAATATTTAAATCACATCAAGAAGTTAACATTCGTTTTCACGTAGCGTGTGTAGCATTATTGAACTGATCAATAATAATAACAATAGTAATAATAATTTTAAGCAATAATTTTCTCAACATCAAAAAAAAAAAACAAATCTCTAAATCATTCGAAAATTTATCTAGGTATACACTGAAAAAAGAGTTTGGTATTGACAACCAAACGTTTGGTTGGTATTTAAGCAACCAAAAGTTTTTTGTTGAATCAACAAAATTTTAATTGTCTCAATCAAAATTTGTTTGACACAACCAAAATTAGAAAAAAATGTATTTTTGTTGTCCTAACTAAAGTTTGATTGGGACAACCAAAATTTTGTTGATTCAATAAAAAAAAATTGGTTGCTTAAATACCAGGGACTGTCTCGGACACGAAATGTTGTTGAATTTTAAGAAAGTGTCCGTGTAGTGTCGCGACTCGACACGTTTGAAAACAATTAAAAGTATCGTGGCGAGACCCGACACTTTTCAAACTTTTCAAACGTATCGTGGCAAGACCCGACACAGTTAAGAAATTCATAATTGTATCGTGGCGAAGCACGATACGTTTAGAAATTTGTAATCGTATCGTGGCAGGACTGGACACGTTTACGAATTTCCAAAAGTATCGTGGCGCGACTAGACACATTAACAATTTGAGAATCGTATCGTATCATGACTTGCCACGACACGATAATTCTGCATAAATATGTCGTGTCGCATGAAAAAAAATTGTTCAATTAATTTAAACTTATCTATTATGTATTATCTGTTATAATATAGTATATATGGAATAATAATAATACTAATAATAATATGCATACAAAATAATATACAATAATATATAATTTTTATATTATATTATATTATATTATATTATATTATATTATATTATATTATATTATATTATATTATATTATATTATATTATATTATATTATATTATATTATATTATATTATATTATATTATATTATATTATATTATATTATATTATATTATATTATATTATATTATATTATATTATATTATATTATATTATATTATATTATATTATATTATATTATATTATATTATATTATATTATATTATTTCCACGAATTTCTGTTTTCATCTTATACTGTTTATTTTCATGTATTTCTTTTTGTATTATCAACAACTTATTGTCTAGTATGTAAACAAACCACACTTAAAATTAAAAATTATTTTTGTTCAATAAAAGTAATAGATTAATTTAATTTATTAACGTTTTAATATTATTATGATTTAAAGAATTGAAAAAAATGTAAGACTTGATTACGAATTCAATATCAGTTTTTTAAAATTCAAAATGGCGGATCCAATATACCGAATCAAAATAACTAAAAATGGGCAAATTCGTCTAAACCATGTTACCCAGGGGTTTTCGGGGTCGCTGATTACGAATCTGACATCAGTTTTTTAAAATTCAAAATGGCGGATCCAATATGGCGGACGACAAAATAAAAAATTAATCGGATTGGATTGAAACCGGTTACTGAGGAGTTTTCAGGGTCGCTGATTACAAATGTAAGACCAGTTTTTTAGGGTTTCGTGGCCCATGGCCGAAAGCCTTCACAGAAAATTAAAAGGCATTAAAATAAGCTGCAACGCTTATTATTTTAATCTAATTTTGCTTATTTTAATACCAAAATGGATTAAAATAAGCAAAATTGGATTAAAATAATAAGCGTTGCAGCTTATTTTAATGCCTTTTAATTTTCTGTGTTATAGTTTCACTTTGGCGTCCGTCTGTCCGTAGTATATTTTGGGGCACCACAGATCCCAAATTCAAATTTTGGGCAAACATAGCTTCCAAATTCGAATTTTGGGGCACCACAGATCCCAAATTCAAATTTTGGGGCACCAGAGCTCCCAAATTCAAATGTTGGGGCCCACAGATCCCAAATCTCCATTTACTGAATGGACATTTTCCCGAATGGACATTACATGAATGGACATTACATGTCCCATTAGTTAACATGCCCCTATAATTGACATGTCCCAGTAGTTGACCTGTCTCAGTAATTGACATGTCCCAATAGTTGACATGTCCCAATAGTTGACATGTCCATATAGTTGACATGTCCATATAGTTGACATGTCCCTATAGTTGACATGTCCCAGTAGTTGACATTAAAATTTAAAGCGCCACGAAACCCTAGATGTAGGCGCAATTGCGCCTAGTTCTTTTCCTATTTTTAATATTCAAAATGGCGGATCTAATATGCTGAACAATTTTTTAAAAAGGATCGGATCTTTTGAAACTTGTTACTCGAGCGTTTTTTGGGACATTTTGAATTTTGAAAAACTTTTGTCACAATTCGTAATCAATGACCCTGAAAACC